AACAATCGGGAAGCACCTAGACTAAGCTCATAGAGACGCCAAGTCGGCGGGAATCCTGCGGACGGTGCGGACGAGCACCATAAGGATTCCTTGTTTCGCTATACGTAAAGTCTACCAATACGTCAATTCAAAGGCAAAGTACTCTTTTACGCCGCCCCGGTCGCGACGCACTTGCAAAGCGCCCAGGCCTACCAACACGTACGAGGCACGCCGGTCCGTGTTAAACGCGCTTCGACGCGGACCGCGACCCGGTGCGCGCGCCGTAACCGTGGCCCGTACACCAACCCGTCGCCAGTTGGCAACTCAGGCCCGCCTGGACTTAGCACCTTACCCCCTACGGACGTTATAGTGTATAGCGACGGATCCAAGGCAGAGGACGGGGCAGTTGGATACGGCTGGGTAGTATGCCAAGCCGGCCAACGCAAACTTTCCGGGCACGGCAGGCTGGCTGTCTGTAAGGGGGGCGTGCCAGAGTAACCGCTCCACTACATAGACCAAAAGATCCAACAGTTCAATCACGAAGTGATTGAACCCTCTGGCACCACAGTATATCAAGCCCCGGGATCCCTTACCAGGGCGACCCCGTTACACTGTCACGGGGTAAGCCGAAGGCCGGTACGAGGCGATCACGGTGGAAGGAAACGATCTGCCGAGGGTGAAGGCCTATATTATGATAGGCTAGATACGACAACTTCAGCTTGACCTCGCAATCCCTTCAGTTGCCTCGCTCAAGCTAAGTCCTGTGGCCCCTTGGCCCGTGCCCTAGATGCCTGAGGCCTCTGTGCGGTGCGGGCCCTCCGGGCTCATGCCACCTCCGTGGCTGGGGCATCCGTGCGGTACGGGCCCTCCGGGCTCGCACCGCCTCCGTGGTGGTGATCTGCCGTGTGTTACAGTCAGGCCTCTGCTCCTAAGGTAGGGCACCTAGGGAGGTGTCTGGCAGTAGCACGTGACTTGAACAACTGAGGGGATTCACAGGGATCTTAAGTGCGGTCTGAATGCTTGCTCCAAGGGGTACTTGGAAGCTAACTTAGGTTGACTGATGCCGAAGCGTCAGTCACAGCTATCTACTACAGGGGGGAATCCTTTCTTCTTATACTTGTGCCTTTCCCTGTAATTGCCTGGGATCTGTCGGCCGTGACAGATCCCTTGGGATCTGTCGCTTGGCACAGATCTCTTTGGATCTGTTGGTCGCGACACAGATCCCCTTTTTCTGCTTACATAACCGGGTGTTACGACGACCTGCAGGAAGTGGGGTAGCAGCCACCCACAGTCGTCCTTGTGTCCTGCCTCCCCCCCACCTTCTCGGGCGTGGTCGTAACGCCGTGGAGGCGGCGGATCCCTTACGGTGCGTTTAAAAATTTATCTTGTTTATTGTACACTCCTAGGGTGTGTGATAAAGTGGCTGAAGCGCTACTTTTTACACTGTAATGCAAAGGCGGTGAAGTAAAAGGAATAAAGCAAAAACAGTAAAGTAAAAGTGGTGAAGCAAAGCGGTGGAGCAAAGGCGGTAAAGCAAAGGTGGTGGAGTAAAAGCGGTGAGGTAAAGGCAGTGGGGTAAAAGCGGTAAAGCAAAGGTGGTAAAGCAAAGGTAGTGGAGTAAAGGCGGTAAAGTAAAGGCGGTGAAGAAAAGGCAGTAGAGCAAAGGCGGTAAAGCAAAGGTAATAGAGTAAAGGCGGTAACGTGCTGTGCACTAAAAAGGAGTTTTCGCTAGGAAATTTTAAAAGTTCAAGTCACTTAGCAGTCGCGAGATATATTTCATGCAGTATGTAAGATAAACACAGCGCGTAAAAAAACGGTTGCTTGCTTTCCAGATCCTCTTTTCCAAAGGATTTTCCAGGCTCGCTTTTATAACAAAGTTCTGCTCCTTTTATCGTTTTAGTCTAAAGTGTTAAACGCAAGCGGAAGCAACAGAGGGGAAGCATCTGTCGGGTGGAGAAGACGAGGCTGCTCGCTCTCCCCAGTCCTCTGTCTAGAGAGGGCCCGATCATCTCGGTCAGGCGACATCGGGTCCACTGTGCGACCTCTCTTGGGGTCTGAAAACACGCGGCAGCAATGCGGAGAGTGTTGCCAACGCTGCGGAGTGAGCCTTGACGGAGGCGGCACGCCGAGCAATTGATAGTAAGCTTGGTGCCGCGAAGAGGCTTGAACTCGGCAAGAGACTGTAAGGAGGCTCGCCACAATAGTGGTGGGCTACCGCCACAGCAGGGAGCCTCAGCCCCTCTCACGGGCCTGAGCCACGTGGAGGCCTGAGGCACCTAGGCACGTGACGGGGCCCTAAGGGGGCCACGCTACTTAGGCAGTTTGAGTGTTAGCGGGTTGGGCCCGCGCGGTCAGCCACGGCCAGAGGTCGTGGCGGTGCGCCACCAAGCGGGCTGCGCCACCGCACCTACAGAAACGGGCGCCACGCCCGGAGTTGCTCCGCAACTCTCTCTCTCTTGCAACACCCTGTAGTAACGTAATATAATTAAGTCCCTACAAGCGTGCGTTACGTTGTAGGACCCTTACATTAAGGGAGGCAATTCTTAAATTGCTGGATCAAGCTGAAGTTGTTGTATGTACCTTATAGCAATATAAGCCTTTAACCCTTATAGACCGTCTACTATTATCGTAATCACTTTGTACAGGCGTTCGGCTTGCCCTGTGACAGAAATAATTTAAAAAGGCGGTGAGACAAATTAAGGAAATAAGCCTTTAATACTAACGTAGCTCATTAGCGAGTGGATTGAATCACCGAGTGGATCACTTTGAAATCACGTGTTAAACGCGATTTTCGATACCATTGCTAACTCGGCCAATTTAAGCTTAAATTTAACTAAACTTGAAAAGGTTATAGTTATTTAACTATGTAACAAGTTTAATTTAATTTTCTTAAATTTTATTATTACTGTTGGTAGGCTTCACCTACGCAGTCGATACTGTGATCGCTGCACGCTCCGGATGTGGTGAACGGTGATCTAGATCATTGGATATAAATCGTATATTGTGCACAAGGCAGGAAGAGTTCTATCTGACTGGAGGGCGTAGCCATGCTGGCTCTATATACGCGTGGAGCCAGGAGTGGGTTCTGTGCCGGAGCACGGAACCCACCTTTGAGTGATCGGGATCACAGTATCGGGGATCCTGTGATCCCGACGCTCTCCCGCTGCCAGACGGTGCACGTGACAGCTCCGATCCAACAATTACTCCTTTTAGGTTAGTTTGTAATACTGTATAATATGCTGTGTTTATTTTGCTTAATAAACAAACTAACGTGATTCACAAGTGAGTGCATCAAACAAGCGAGTGGATTATTTGCAAAACTTATATTAAATAGCGTTTTTTTTAATTAAATAACTCGCCTAATTTAGGTTTAAATTTCACTAAAATTTAACTGGGAATATTCAACTATGTAGAAAATCTAATATATTTTTTTTCACAGTTTTATTATTACCCCTTTAGGGTTAGTGATACTGTTGGAACAGCATTTGTGTGCGCGTACGTGTAAGGGGGCTTGACGTCGCTACGCCAAGCTACCCCTGACGCGGCCAAAGGCTAGGGAGCCGCGCCGCACAAGGGCCCAGCCACCCTGTGGCTGGAGCCGGACGGCCGGCTCCACGCTGGCGCAGCAGGCATCACAGGGGTGCCTCAGGCATCCAGGGCACGGGCCTTGGGGCCACAAGACTTAGGCGGCTTAACCGATGCAAATGAAGGGATTGCGAGGTCAAGCTGAAGTTGTTGTATTTAGCTTATAGCAATATAGGCGCCACCACCCTTTAACCTATCTGCTACTATCGTGATCACCTCGTTTCCAGCCATCAGCTTAACCCCGTAACATATTCCGCGGCGCGCGCTCACGTGAATGCCTGCGGCGTGCGGTGAACTGCCCTGGGCCATTACAGAGCGTAGCCTTAAGCTCCGCCCAGGGGCGTCGTTATATAACTTACCACCTTTTACAATCAGCTCACCGCCTTTTACAATCAGCTCACCGCCTTTTACAATCAGCTTACCGCCTTTTACAATCAGCTTACCGCCTTTCATAATTAACTCACCGCCTTTGTCACACCTTATAGGGCGAATGCTTAGCAGGCAGGAGCTGGGTGTGACGGTCGGCTGGGGTCGACGTCGCACGCGTTTATATAAACCTTAATGTTAAGCTACACGTCGTAGCTTGGCATCGTACCCTTTTGTAAGTGTGTGGCGTAGGTGGGGAAGGTTCATCCCAATTGTTACACCGGGAGGCTGGAAAGCCTTTAAGGATACTTCAAAAGCTACGATTACGGTTCAGATTCAAAGCCTCCTAAGAAAAGGTTTACCACGTGCGGTGTTACACCTTTTGTAATTTACTCACCGCCTTTGCTTACTTACCGCCTTTGCTCATTCACCGCCTTTGTGTTGCAATCAGGGGTCTGCTCCTAGGGTAGGACACCTAGGTGAAATACTGAGCAGTAGAGTGCACTGAAAGGGTAAAGTAAAAGTAGTGGAACAAAAGCGGTAAAGCGAGGTAGTAAAGCAAAGGTAGTGGAGTAAAGGCGGTGAAGTAAAACTGTGGAGTAAAAGCGGTGAAGTAAAAGCAGTGGAGTAAAGGCGGTAAAGAAAAGAACGTGTTGTGTATGTAAGCCTGGTAGTCGACCCATAACCTATCAGCTATTAAGACCCTGTACCAGCCCCGAGACACTTGCGTTGTGCCCATCTCCAGACCTCGCCTCGCAGCATCCCTTTTAATTTTAGCCATTTGGAGGGCATTTTTTTTTTTTACCAATTCTGGTCCGTTCGGGGCCAGGATTGGATGCTAAAATTGCCCTAGATTCCCTTTTTATAATGAAGTTATGCAGGCCCGTAACGGCTAATACCACATCGACTTGTGCGCGGAGACGGAAGCCAGAAGGGGTGCCCCTTTGTTACAAACAGGCCTCTGCTCCTAAGGTAGGACACCTAGAGAGATGGTAGCAGTAGCGTCTTGTCAGGGAAACAGGGGAAACACTGGATATCTTGGGTGCAGGTCTGGATGCTTGCTCAAAGGGTTACTCTGAAGCTAACTTAGGTTGACTGATGCCGAAGCCTCAGTCAAAGCTATCTAGGACAGTAGGAAATCCTTCCTCTATATACTCGTAACGCCTTTGCCCTAGATCTCTTGGCTCTGTTGCTTTGCTACAGATCCACAGATCCGACCTGTGTCACGTGACTCTTGGAGGTGGGGTAGGGCTGGCTCCCTGTCGGCCCATACCCAACGCCTCTAACCCTCCAGCCTTGCCCCGCTTCCTGCCCTCCGTACTCGGTCGTAGCACCCTTGTGACGATCTGGGCCAAGACCAGACCCACACCGTCAGGACCCACGCGGTTGACAATCGTTAAGAGGCGTCAGGCGCACGCCGAGCACCAGAATCCCCCCCTTTTTTTTTCCTTTCTCAGAGTAGAATTTTCGTTCGTAGTGCCAATCGACAGAAGCCCCTAAACTTTAGCTGGAACTTTACTACGCCTTCGGCCATCACGGACTTGAGGACCGCGTTCTCAAGTAGCCATTCCTTGAACGTTGTGACGTGGACCTCCACGGTTCCTTCTTTGCGGACATAGTTAAACTGCAAAATGCGCATCGGCCTCGGTGTTTTTATGGGGATGTGCAGGTCGTCCCTGCGTTCGACACTTCAGCGGAGACGTCGGCTGAAAGCGCTAGTCCTTTATGAAAGGCTTGCTCACACATTCTAACAAATCGCTTCCGTACGGCCAAGACCTCATGCATAACTGCATACAAAAATCTTTCAAAATACAGCCCAGGCTTCCTGTCTCCGTCCCCGCGCTCTCCGCCCGGCTTATCTCCTAGCTTTCGCCGACGGGTCTTGGAGGGGACCGAATAAGATCACTCCCCCTCCCTCTCTAAAAAAAAAAAAGAAAGAAAAAACAAACCTCGCTTTCAGGGCTCCTTTGCCCTGGTGGCGCCAGCTACCGGCTTGTTGTCGTCGGGATGATGATCAACGTTTACACCGTCTTTGTGGGCCCTAAGCCACTGCTCAAGCCGGACAGGGGGTCCTGGCATCTCCGGGTAATTCTGGTGGTACTGTTCAAGAAGGTGAGGGCTTCCCTTAAATCCCTCGGCGTAGTACCACGTTTGGTCGGTTTCCCAGTCGACCCATTTGGCCTGATATTGAAGCTTCTTATAGTGGGTGCGTGAAGCCAGTATCTCCTCAACCTCCCATTCGTTCTCATTTGGGGGCGTGGGAGCACCCGCTGTTGATGCGGGGCTTTGACCTGCCAGGCGGTGTCTTTTAGCCGGCAGCCTTCGTTGTTGGTGACGAGGTGAAGCGTTATTGCATTCGTGATCCGGGCAACGGCCTCGGCTAAACTCGAGCTGATACTTCGTTTCGCCGTTGACCGTCGCAAATTTGAGGACCACGTCTTCGAGTGGCCATTGCTTAAACTCTGCGAACTGGGTTTCGGTCTCTATTTCCTTGCCAGGACCTTGTGAAAACGGCGGGCTGGGAATATCGTGCCGAAGTGGGCTCCGTTTTTGGATTTGTCTTCGCCTGCTGTCGCCGCGGTGGGAACCCGTTTGGCGTTTGGCGGCTGTTCTGCGTGGCGTCGAAGCGGGAGAGCTTCTTCTGCGGCGTTTGCGTGGTGACAGCTGGTCGCTGTCGCTATTCCGAGGGTGGTAAGTGCCGTCGTCCCCATGGTCGCGCCGGCGACTGCCAGGATTGGATTGAAGGTTTCCCCGAGTGTCAAATGGCTGGCCATCGCCGCTTTCGTCGTCGGAATTAACACTGGAAATGCCGGATGCATAGTGGTCCCCGTAACGAACAGCCGTCTTCCTCGGTCTTAAATTCCGCTTCGCTATAAGCGTTCCGGCTTTGTCATTGATATCATTGTCGCTAGCCTTTTGGCAATCACCAACCGGGCGGCGACAAGGCATGCCCTCTCGATCCGAATGGTCTTCCAGGCCCGGTGAGCAGTGCCTGGAGAGATGGCCTGAACTAGGCGTCCCCGCTCCTCTAGCTGGCGACGCGCCGGAGAACCTAGCCCCCTCGTCGCAGGTGGCTGCCTCAGGCGTGGACCACACGCTGCTCGAGCGTGGAGCGTGGTCACTGCCGACAGGACTCGGCGGGTCCTGGACCAGATGGGAGGGCCCAGCCGACGTAGGGCGTCGTTCTAGCGGCGCCGGCAAAGAGGGAGGCTTTAGAAAATTCATACCGAAAGCGTCATGTCTTGGCTCGGTGCAGGGTGGAGCGGTATGCTCACCGGCATGGGTAGCTAAATGCTCGGCTGAGGCAGGAAAAGGGCTTGGCAAAGTCGGGGGGCCTGGCGGAGCCCCGTCCTTTAGCTCCAGGACGCTGTAAGCCTCCGGCAGCTCGTCTGGTGTTTGGACCAGCACATCCCTTATCGGCCCCGGCGGAAGGGTAGGGCCAATCAAAGCTTCCGACGACTTGCCGGCGTCCGGCCGCAGACCATCCCCCCCAGCCGCCGAATTTCCGGCCCCATTGTCTTGGCCTGGCCCGTGAATAACGGACGCCCCTACGGCGTTGTCACCGGCGCCGGACGACGTATTGGAATCCTTGCCTGCCCGGGGGTGTCAACGCAACGACTCGCCCAAGGGTGGATAGAGAATCATGCACATACCTGCACCGGCAACGCTGCCGCGATCGCGTCCGATAAGTTCCTCGATTGGCGGGAAAAAATCGTCTTCGTCATCGGACTCGCTATCGCTGGGAATCTCGATTGCATCTGCCCTGAAGCTTGGGCCAACGCCGCGTGAGGGACTGTGTGTAGATTGCTGTGATGATTTTGAACTTCCGGCGGTTGGTACAGAGAGATGCCCATATTGAGCTCGGCCATTGGGCTTTCGATTAGCCGCAATTTCAGTATATGAGTAAAAAAGCTGACGATCCATCGTGCAGTGGATGCTGAAAAGGAGTTTGAGTTTAGTAAACGCGAAAGGCTTCGGGAAAACGACGGAGGTGTGATTGCACTGTAGGCTGACGGTTTCAAACTTAGGAACACCGGGGGAACGAGGGATACATATATGCATGTGCGAGAAGCGTGAAGTCAGTCACAGCACCGGCAAACAAAGTACAGGCAACAGCTCGTGCTGGCCATCCACAGCCACCTATCCACCAGTCCCGTCGACTTCGATTCAACGGTTCCTCGTATCTCTGCCAATAATGCAACTGCCGACACGGGAGCGAGACAGCCGGAGAAGGTGACCCCGCAGGATGTCGTCGTCGCTGCCAATCAAGTCCCTAACCTGACCACACGAGGTCGCCCACGGCGTCTCCGGAGACTGCCCAGGATGACCTGACGATGTGACACAGGCTCGTCATCTCCTTTTCCTGCGCCTTGCTCCGCCTCCTAAACGGGCTTGCCCCATCTTCCCTTTTTATGCCGCTCGACGCGCGCCAATAGCAGTGCGGGACCTGACCGGCGCGGGGAGGGGTTCACGAGCGCCGTCGCTTCATCCCACCGGCTCCTTTCCAGGACTCGTGTCTGCCTTGCCATCGCCCAAATTGCGCCAGGGGTGCGGACCCGCCGTCAAATGCTGATCAGCCTCCTCCGGCGTGATTCGCGAGTCG